ATGAAGGTGTCATCTACGTATCTGAGCCAGAGTTTGGGTTTGTGGTCGTATTTTTCTAGAGCTTGTGTTTCAAAGTGTTCCATGTAGAGGTTTGCGATGACAGGTGAGAGGGGTGATCCCATGGGTGCTCCTTCTATTTGTTTGTATTTTTGTCCATTGTAGGTGAAGTATGTATTGGATAGGCAGTGGTTGGTTAGATCTAGGATGTGCTTGGGGGGGTTGTATTTGTTTTGGATGGCTGTCAAGGCTTCTTTTATTGGCACTTGGGTGAAGAGGGATATGACATCGAAGCTTACTAGTAGGTCGCTAGGTTGTAAGTTTTGTTTCTTTATGATCTCGATGAACTGGAATGAGTTTCTTACGTGTGAGTTGATGGATTCTGCATAGGGTTGTAGTTGTTTGGCGAGAAATTTGGCTAGGTTTTGTAGAGGTGAGCCTATGGAGCTGACTATTGGTCTGAGTGGGGTTCCTTCTTTGTGTATTTTGGGGAGACCATAAAGCTTGACCCCACCACCTACCTAGAAAAAACGACCAAATCCAAAATAAAAGCCCCCCCCATCAGTGAAGAAATCCAGCAAGGAATCATACCCAGAGAGAAATCATCCAGATGCCCCAAGCTTTATGGGGCATCTGGATGCAATCTCACATTACTCTGAGAAGCACAGAGCCGGAGACAGAAGCCTGAAGATGATGAATGAGACTTCATCGAAACGTTGCCTAGATACTTCGAATCTTACGTGGGAGAAAACCCGAACAACCAAAGATCCACATACATACATACATACATACATACATACATACATACATATATATCTACGTCTTTTTTTTTTAATTCAATCCTTTGGATCTCTTTGAAGTAATTCCTATTGGATTTGATAGATCCTGCTTTTAAAAAAGTTGAATAATTGTGCAGTATTTAGAATGACTTTACATTGGTTTGCACATATTTGGGCTAATTTGTAAAGTATTCTTGAATATTAAAATGTTGATCAGTAATAATAGGAATACGTAGTGGGCAGCTTTTTTGCTCTTAAAGAACTTATCTGGAAAAGGTCAGCTCCAAAAGCAGAATTTTGATATGCAGTATAGGGTATTTGCAGCCTATACCCCAGAGACAAGAGGACTTCCCTTGCTGCATCCATTCTGAAACAGAAGCAGGATTTTGGCACAGAATATGTGTAGCACTGGGCATTTGCAATCAGCCCCCAGAAATAAGAGGGAGCCTCTGTGCCAAAATCTTGCTTGGATTTTGGGACAGTCCTTTTTTCAGTCAGCCTCCAGAGACAGAAGGACTCCCTTTCTGGCTGGCTGCAAACTCCCTGTGCTACAGACACCTCTGTGCTAAAATCCTGCTTCGATTTTGGTATGGATCTTTTTTAGCCATCCCCCAGAAACCAGAGAGAGTCTTCCTCTCAGGTGGCAGAGGCATGCAACCTTCCCCTATAGACATGCTGAAAAAGAAGACGGATTAAGAACCATCTTTTCAGATTTCAGTCCCTTCCTCATTTTGGCCGTAGTGATGGCCTGCTATCCACTTGGTGGATTCTTTTGCTTCTTTACCCCTGCAACCCATGCCAGGGAAACCAGCAGCAATCATTGTCTTTTCTTTGAACAGGCCATGTACGTGGTTTCAATCAATGAATCTTTTGTATGAGTTCTGGAATTTTAACCTTTCGGTGTCTACTGAGGGGGTGGGGGGGAGGGATGTTAGAATGCAGTACTGCAGGCTACTTCTGCTGACTGCTAGTTGCCAGCAGTTTGGCAGTTCGATTCTCACCGGCTGAAGGTTGACTCAGCCTTCCATGTTTCTGAGGTTGGGTCAAATGAAGACCCAGATTGTTGGCTGACTCTGAACCGCTTACAGAGGGGCTGTAAAGCACTATGGAGCAGTATAGAAATCTAAGTACTACTGCTATTGCAATCTCAAGGGCAGCTGCCAGTGATTGAAGGGACGAGGTGTTTCTCTGGCAGTGCCCAGCAGCCATTTTGAATGCAGGAGTTTGTTTACAGTGAAATGAAATGCAGTAGGCCAACTGAATAGCCCTGATTGAACAGACAGAACTTATTTTTGACCTATAGAGACAAAAACAGAGATTGCCTTCTTAGTGGTTTGGGGCTGGCAAGATGACAAAGTAATTTTTTTCCTACTATCAGGAAATAGCTAGTTGATCATACTCAGGCTGGAACAATCTGGCTTATACAGATCACCTCTAATGCAAATAAAGTTGAGCTGAGCTCAGCACTTGGTATCCTCATGGACAAGTGTGTACATCTTGGTATGATGTAAGATATGTTTCCGTTGCTCTTTTCGAAAGGTGTTTTTCTACTTCTGCACTTAGTCTTCTTCCTTAATTGTGAGATGGTCTCACTAACCAGAGCTGGTTCCTTTTAGGTTTCTCTGTCAAGTTCAGGCAGATGGCAGTACTGGGTTCACCAAAAGTCAAGTGTGACTTGAGGGAATCTAAAAACCATAGCAAGTGGCAGCATCTAACTGTTTTAGAAGCTATGTAGGCATAGACCTGGTTAACTGATGGATGCAGATGCAAAAGAATATAGTTTAGAACCATGATGGTGAACCTCTGGCATGCATGCTGGAAGTGGCATGCAGACAATCTCTCTGGGCACGCCAGCCATTGCCCATTGCTCTTCTGAGTTCCGGGGTACACATGTGCGCCAGCCAGCTGGTCTTGGGAGTGGGAGTGCCAGAAATCAGAAGAGCATGTGCCGGGAAACTGGTCTTCCGGTTTCCAATATGCATACGTGCACCAGCCAGCTGGATTTTGCACTTGCATGCGCACCAGAAACTGGAAGACCAGATGGCCGGCTCACATGCATGTGCTGTAATCCAGCTTCCCGGCACGCGCATGCATCCCAGGAAGCTGCTCTTCCCGTTTCCAGTGCTCCCCCCGCGTGCGCATGCTCCCATTTCAGCACTCAGTGCCGAAAAGGTTTGCCAACGCTGGTTTAGAACCATAAGCTAGACTGAATAATTGAACACAAAAATCTTAGCCGAAAGGAATGGTAAACCCTATCTGTATCATCCCAAGGAAACTGCGTAATTTAAAACGGGTCCCCAACCATCGGGCCCCGGACCGGTACCGGTCCATGGATCATTTTCTACCAGGCCGCCGGTTTGCTGGGCACCGCCATCTTGTTTCAACAGAAAGTGCTTCCGGGTGAGCTTTTCCGGTTGGAAAGCGGCGTTTGGGTCCTGAAGGAATCTTTGCGCCTTAGTTTCATTGAAGGGGGGGGGGCAGCTTCAAACGAAGAGCCGTCCCGATGGCAGAGGAGATAAAAAAAGCACAAAAAAGGTACAAAGGAGGAGTTGAAGGTGGTGGGGAGAAGCGGGGGACGGCTGGCTGGCCGGTCGCTCGGCTCGCCTTGCCTTGGTCATGCGTGCTGATGCCGGTACTGGGCCGCGGATCATTTTGTGATGCCGGTACCGGGCCGTGGCACAAAAAAGGTTGTGGGCCACTGATTTAAAACATGTTTCCAATTGTACTGGAATGTAATCTTGATGCCATCTTTTCCTACGGTCCTCCTGGAAGAAGAAACTAGAAAGGAATATAATTTGAAGCTCCATTCTGGATTTCTTTTTCTCTTCTCTTTTAGAAAGTCTACTAAGGAAAGTCTGGCAGAGGGGGCAAGTAACATCACAGAGAGCCTGATGGGAATTAGCAGAATGATGTCTCAGCAGGTTCAGCAAAGTGAGGAAACCATGCAATCTCTAGGTAACTAAATAATCTGGATTTAAGTTCAAGATGGACGGTTGGTCTCCTGATGCAACAGGTTCTTCCGACCCCACCCTATATCCTCCCCCGGAGCCCTTGACCTTTAGTCATTTATATGGTGCTTCGGTGAGAGGAAGAAACAAGGAGAATTAGGCCTTGTGTGCCTTCCTCTTGCTGGAGACATTTTTGAATTCAGCTTTCTGTGTGAGAGAATCATTGCCACTCTTTCCTTAAGGCTTCAGAAATCTGTCACATATAGGAATATTTGTTCAAGGATTAAAGGAAGGGTGTCATTTGGTGCAACCAATAGGAACTGAGAAGATGTATTTTTATTCTGTCAGATTCAAACATTTCTTTCGTTGGCAATTGAATATCCTAAAACCAGTTGGTTTAAATAGAAATGAATGTTTCTGCACCAGAGACAAATTATTTGTGTGTCTGATCACACTTGTTCAAACAAAGTCTCCTCTCCCCCTCCCTTACCCCTCTCCCTTCCCCTCTCCCCTCCTGTCCTCCCCTCTCTTCCATTCCATTCCAACAGGCACAGAAACTGGAGAGAAAAATGGCTTGTCTTTAGATTTAAGGGACAAATTGCCTTTCCACTTAAGTGATTCATACTTTTTTCTGCCCCCTAGATAATTTTTTCTGTTATCTTAATACCCTTGTTTATGATGATCAAAAGAAAGCAGCACCTAGCCTATCTTGCTAATGCCAAAGAGAATTGGACCTGGCTAGCACTCAGATGGGAGACCACCTGAAAATCTCAGAGGTGGAAAATGCATATTAGAAAGAATATGGGTAGCACAAAGCAAACTGACTGTACAAAGGTTGTCACCGTGGTCCCCTTGCTCACTTTCCTCGGGGTCTTTAGAGTGCCTTTGAGATTATTTGAATATGGTATAATCCATTCTGAGGTTGGGGACTCAGATCTGGATTTGCTGTTGGTTAGGCTAGGAAATGATTGTCTGGTTGATGCTGTGTCATTTTGTTTTGTGATAAAGAGTCTATGTGTATGTACATCCAGTTTTTGCCTTCTAACAGTGGCAACTAGGGGACAAAGTATTTTTACTTGCTTCAACAGAAGATGTTAAGCATCAAGCTAACTCTCATGTGCTTTGGGAAACTGTGGTTTTATTGAGCAAACTCTTCCACTATATGTTTACGTTGGCTCCTTCCCTCTTGGTTTTTAACTGTAGGCCTAAAAGACGTAATGCTTTTATCTGATTTTAGATGGATCAGATTGCTTAAACTAAATGCTTATGAATGTTTATACATTGCTGTTTTAATTATTTACATCTGCCTTTTTAAAGTGTTTGCGAACAGCCTTAAGGGAAAGTATGGTCTGTTGGGATGCAGAGTTTGGCTGAGGTGAAAGTTTTAATGGTTCTGGAACTTGAGCCAACTCTGATCTCAGTCTTTTATGAATGGGCCTCTTCAAGATGGTAGCATATCAATCAGATGGTCATCAGATAACAAGAGAGCCATTTGAACTGATTTCATCTGACTCCAGATTTAAAAACATGAATCTTTAAGCCAATTTATCCTCTGAACTGCATGTGGTATGTTTTCTTTCATGTGACACAAAAAGATGCTTCCACGCTATATGATTTTGCTAGATGCTTGAGAAACAGTCCACTGAAATGTACACTTTATCTTTCAGTTAATTCTTCACGAACTATCTTGGATGCCAACGAGGAGTTTAAATCTATGTCTGGAACAATACAGCTGGGGCGAAAGCTTATCACAAAGTATAACCGCAGGGAGCTGACTGATAAATTGCTCATCTTTCTTGCCCTTGCCTTGTTTTTGGCCACTGTGCTTTATATCTTGAAGAAAAGGCTATTTCCATTTTTGTGACCTTTTTAGGTGAAAGGAGGAGGAATGACTGCAAGAAAAAGGAAAGGAAATGTATTGCAAAAAGACTTCCGACAGAGGAGATTTCCATTAGGCAGAACTTTACATTGAACTAGTAACAAATGAGTGGCAGGTTAGAAGAAGAAGAAGAAAAAATGTGCTTGTTTGCTCTGAGGCTGTGAGGCTGTATCACTTGTCGTATTCTGTGAGGCATATTCTAACATCCCCCATCTTTGGCCATTTCTACCCCTTTTCTCAGTTCAGTACATAACTGAGAGGGCTAGAAGAATACTATTGTATGTATATTATACCTTTGGTAAAGTAGATGTGAATGCTAGTACTGTGAAAATCTTATAAATTAAAGGAAGCAAAGTGTATAAGCCTTATTACTGGTTCTTTTTGAATTATAAAAAATGACCTTTTCCTCAAATTGTCTCCAGAAAAAAAAACAATGAGGCAGATCCCCGAATGCCTTTTTAATTGATGGGTCTATATTATTTGTTTATATGTTTCTCTTGCCAGTGTTATTTAGATAGATTCCTTTGCTTCAACCCATATTCTAGTTCTTCCCCATGTAGGGAATGACTACATTGGATGACTGGGCCAATTAATCTCTCTCAGATCTAGATTACTCCTGGGTAATCAAAAAAAAAAATTCTCTACCAACTGTACTGGACCAGTGTACTAGATTACACCCATGGTCTTCAAGAAGAGGACTTAATCCTGGATTGCACTGAATTGATTCAGTTTGATTGTAATTCACTAAATGTTTGTTACTGTATTGAAGGAAGTAAAAAAATTGGTAACTATGTTTTCCTCATTTCTACAGTCAATATGGGTAAATAGAGGGCAAATGATAAAGATCATTGTTCACAATTATAGACCAAGTAAAAATTTGTTTATAACCTACTTTTGAAATCTTTTATCTATAGAATCGCACTATGAATGAGATGAGTGGTCTCCAAATTTGATAAATAAATCAATCTTGCCAAGAAAACTCCAGGGAGTTGTATAGGCAATTGCCATGAGTCAACACTGACTGGAAGTCCTGTATGTGCACACATATGTGTGCGTGCGCAAACACACACATTGAGAACCAGAGACTGTGATTTTGTGTGTATGCCACAAGATGGCACTGAAAGACCATATTTTTAAAAAACGACTTCTTTTAATTTTCAGCCTTCAAATGGGCAACTATTCAAAATAATAGTGTTGCCTTAATGCATAAAATGCTAGGCAGAGAGGAGTCAAAGAAGCAAACTGCACTTAAAAAGAAATTACTGATCCAGCTGTGGTATTTTTTGCACTAATGTTTATTTTTGTCTTTAGCTGTATTAGTAAATTAGTATTTATTTCAATCTCGCAAGCAAAAGAACTAAATAAACGTTATATGTTTACATGAATTTTGTGACACTATATTAACTTCTTTTGTTATGTGTAAAAACCAACTTCTGCAGAGTTCTTTGGCATACTGTAAGAGGGTAAAATAGGCCGTGAGTGTGTAGAACTCAGTTCAGATCCCAACATACAGATCAACCTCAGTGGACATGAGATGCAGTGAGCTACAGTATAAGGAAGGGTGACAGCCCCCTACTTTGTGGTGTGGCCCAAAACATCCAATAAATTGACCCATGCTGAGAGGCTTTCTTTCTTTAAAAACCCATAATAATAGTGGTCCAACTGATAACTTGCAGTCTAGTTTTCATCAATTGGGTTAGCCACCTTAGCCTAAATGCCTAAATGTCAAATATGGGGGACATTTTCTTTGAGTAGGGAAACTGTTTTTTCAAGATGCTGGCTTTCAGTTATGTTCTATGGTTTAGAGCCCGCTGTAAATACATAGCCAAAAAGGCATTCAGAGTTGTTAACTTAATTGCAATGTCCTACCTGTCAATGAATACTTCAGCTTCAACCATAACAACACAAGAGCAAACAATAGATACAAACTCAAGGTTAATCGCACCAAACTTGATTGTAGGGAATACGACTTCAGCAACAGACTGGTCAATGTCTGGAATACTCTACCTGACTCTGTGGTTTTTTCTCCCAACCCTAAAAACGTTAACCTTAGACTGTCTATTATTCACCTCACCCCTTTCCTAAGAGGTCTGTAGGGGGCGTGCATAAGCACACCAAAGCGTCTACCATTCCTGTCCTATTGTTTCTTTTTTATTTTTCTTATATGTATCCATTTCATGTATTCATAACTATGTTAATACTTATGCCTGTTATCTTATAATCGCTTGACAAATTAAAAAAAATAAAGTTGAACATCATCAACGAAAGAAAACCAGCATCTTGGAAAAACAGTTGGAGCATGGAGGCCCTGACTAAAAACATTTAAGCAGGAGGCTCAAAGGATCTCTCCACCTGCACACTGCAGTGATCCCTGGCAATGCGCTGAAATCAAAAGTCTTAATTCAAGCACTGTTGACTAATTCAGCTGTGTCAACTCTGTTTATTTTATTTGGATATCTCTGTGGTTAATTAGTAAGCGCCCACATTTTTTTTTTTTGTATATTTTTCATGATCCAATAAATTCTATTTTCATGCCTAGAGATTTGACTGCTAAGTTACTTGTTAAAATCTCCATGTGCAAGCAGTTACGGAACTGTTACTTGTATTTCATGATTGGCGCAACATTTAGTAACGGTTGTAGTTTAGGATTTTGGAGGGGGATGATCCAAAATATTTTCTGTCTTAAGTTCTCTTAAAGCTGATCCAAAGGGAGAAGTCCTTGGTACAAGGGCTAAGGGGGGGCGGGGTGATTTTAAGGTAGAGGTGTGGCCTCTTATACAGAGGTTTATTTTATTTTTATGAAATGCGGCTTCTTTTAACTGGTGATATCAATTAGAGTTGGGTGGCCTTGAAATATAACCAATACATGAAGTGAGTGGGCTAAAAAGTCAGTTAATGAATCAGGATTGCGCAGACGGATTAGAACGTATCAAGACATTCGGGACCACAGGTACGGCCTATTATTAGTGTGTTTTACTGGGAATCCTCAAAAGATGCCTGCGAGTGAGGTTCTAAATTATTTCTCACCCCAGTTTGCAACACGCTGGCAATACTAAACGAAGGATGAAAAATTTTGATTCTCCAGATTTTGTTGAATTGCAGCTTCCATTGCCCCACCAGCATGGGCAAGCGGCAATCTGGTTGTTCAGAGTTGGCCGAGTTTGAGAAACAAACCAAACAACGTAAGCAAAGAGAAAAGGCGGGTTGGGGGGAGGGGAAAGAAACTGCAGCGCTGACATGAGTTGAGGTAGGGAGAATGTGCTTACGGCAGAGAAATGCTTTCCACATTAAGAAACCTCTCCCCAATGGCTGGATGAATTCACTGCTGGAGTGTTTCTAAAAATGCCACCACCAGATGCACGCAGGGGCTGCCGCCTGCCAAGTGGCGCAGCCGCCTATGCCAGCTGGGAGAGGAATGGGCATGGCTGGCTGGAATCCAGCCAAGCCCCAGATGCAAGCCTGCTTATAAGTAAACACAGCTCCTCTCTAGAGCAGGGCCAGGGGGCCAGGTGGACCACTCTCTTTCTTGCCTTGGCTGTTTTGACTAACTACCATTGGCCAAGGCCATCTGGAAAGAGACATCTCCAGAAGATTTGCCAAAACCTAGGCATGTTTTACAAGCAATGTAAGATGATTTTATTTTATTTTTTGTGCTATTTGGATTTAAACACAATAGTACATAAACTTTTTGGAGTTTGCTTAGGGTGATTTCTGTTACACTTTGATCCCATTCTCATTCATGGGAAAAGGAAGATCTCGTACTGTGTTTATTCTGTTTTCCAGTGAATTTTGGCCAAACCAATAGGCTTTGGTAATAGACAATTCTAAACATACAACATCTGCAGAATGCATAATAAAAATTTTATTAGGAAAAGAATTGCAGACTTTCCAGCAAATTTATCAGGAATTACTAAATATCACTCAATCTGCTCATTATGGTCTTATTCAGAACTTCCTTCTATTGGATTCCAAGGAATTTCTCCATAAATAAATACATTCAGGAGTGGTATTGTTTGATATGTTGTTTACCTTAGTGAACCATGAACCATAGTTAGGAGTAGACATGCATGGGACTGAGTTACCACTTTGTTTTTCCCTTCCCTCTATCCCTTTCTTCTTTTAATATACACTGCTCAAAAAAATAAAGGGAACACAAAAATAAGACATCCTAGATCTGAATGAATGAAATATTCTTTTTAAATACTTTGTTCATTACATAGTTGAATGTGCTGACAACAAAATCACACAAAAATTATCAATGGAAATCAAATTTAGCAACTCATGGAGGTCTGGATTTGGAGTTACACTCAAAATTAAAGTGGAAAAAAACACTACAGGCTGATCCAACTTTGATGTAATGTCCTTAAAACAAGTCAAAATGAGGCTCAGTAGTGTGTGTGGCCTCCACGTGCCTGTATGACCTCCCTACAATGCCTGGGCATGCTCCTGATGAGGTGGCGGATGGTCTCCTGAGGGATCTCCTGCCACACCTGGACTAAAGCATCCCCCAACTCTTGGACAGTCTGTGGTGCAACGTGGAGTTGGATGGAGCAAGACATGATGTCCCAGATGTGCTCAATTGGATTCAGGTCTGGGGAACAGGCGAGCCAGTCCATAGCATCAATGCCTTCGTCATGCAGGAACTGATGACACACTCCAGCCACATGAGGTCTAGCATTGTCTTGCATTAGGAGGAACCCAGGGCCAACCGCATCAGCGTATGGTCTCACAAGGGATCTGAGGATCTCATCTCGGTACCTAATGGCAGTCAGGCTACCTCTGGTGAGCACATGGAGGACTGTGCGGCCCCCTAAAGAAATGCCATCCCACACTATTACTGACTCACTGCCAAACTGGTCATGCTGGAGGATGTTGCAGGCAGCAGAACATTCTCTGTGGCATCTCCAGACCCTGTCACGTTTGTCACATGTGCTCAGTGTGAACCTGCTTTCATCTGTGAAGAGCACAGGGCACCAGTGGTGAATTTGCCAATCTTGGTGTTCTCTGGCAAACGCCAAACATCCTGCACAGTGTTGGGCTGTAAGCACAACCCCCACCTGTGGACGTCAGGCCCTCATACCACTCTCATGGAGTCTGTTTCTGACTGTTTGAGCAGCACATACACATTTGTGGCCCACTGGAGGTCATTTTGCAGGGCTCTGGCAGTGCTCCTCATGTCCCACCTTGCACAAAGGCGGAGGTAGCGGTCCTGATGTTGGGTTGTTGCCCTCCTATAGCCTTCTCCACATCTCCTGATGTATTGGCCTGTCTCCTGGTAGCGCCTCCATGCTCTGGACACTACACAGCAAACAGACAGACACAGCAAACCTTCTTGCCACAGCTCGCATTGATGTGCCAGCCTGGATGAGCTGCACTACCTGAGCCACTTGTGTGGGTTGTAGACTCTGTCTCATGCTAC